AATTCTACATCATGACGAAAAGTTTTGGCTATCCCATCTTCGATCAACAGGACTAACAGCGGAACATTATAATCACAAAAGTCCCGACGGCATTTTTTCAGATTGCTTCTCTTCTCTGCTGCTTCTAATATTTGCTACTGCTTGCACAGTTGTAGATCTTCACGCAAAGCTCTTCTGTAGCTGGAATTTATTACTAGCCATGTTAAACGTGTCGCAGTAGGATCAAGTTTCAGTTTCCTTCTCTTTTCGAGCAACTCCTTAGTACTGATGGAGATGCGATCCGATCTTCTTCCTTGAGGAACTGAGGCAAATTCGGCACACCCCTCCAGCCTTTCGACAAGCAGCTCATAGTCTTCGGCCGGGTCAAGTAAAAAAAAGGGTTTTTGCAATTTACTAGATAAAGGGAATAACTTCTGACGAGACTCAGCTTAAATGACATCTAGACTCGGCAAAATATTGACTGACAACAAAAAGTAGTGTAAAAACGCTCTATTTTTCAAAATAATCCACTGAGGAGGAAGTGTCTAGGATACAATGCACGTCGATCATTGTGCACCAAAACATGTTTTCGATATTAGTAGAAAAAAACAATGCGGCTCGAAATCAGCTGAGGTTATTTAAACAAAAAAGGAATCATTTAAGGTTACACCGATCATCAGCTGTGTAGGCGGGCCAACGGATAGAATAGCCTGGTTTTTAAGCCTGATACTTACCCAGTTGCTTAACCACATTCCAGCTCACCTCACAAACACCCAAATGTTCCTAGAACGTCTACGTAACGCGTCTCCTAATAACGCGTACGTGATGGAGTCTTTCGACGTTACCGCACTGTACACCAACGTGTCGAATGACTCCGCAATGCAGGCCATCTTCGAACTTCTTGTTGAACATGAAGGAAGAATAAATATGCATGGCTTGTCCATCCAGCAGCAAATGGCTCTCTTAAAGGAGTGCTTAAACTGCTCGATTTTCAGATGGTCTGGGAAATATTTCGCGCAAATAAGGGGGTTGGCAATGGGACAGCGATTGGCACCAAGCTTTGCCATTGTGTTTGTGTCTAAGATAGAATCCCCTGTTCTCGATCTCCGGCCACTACTCTACTGCAGATATGTAGATGATTGTTTTGTCGTCTTTTCTACGCAGGAAGAGATGGACAAATGCTTTGAATTATTGGACGAGCAGTCCGAGTACATAAAGTTCACCCGGGAGAAACCGAGAAAAAACTGGCTTCCGTTTTTGCACGTTCAAATAAACCTATCAAGTAGCGGTTACTTGACAAAGTGGTGTCGAAAGCCATGTAACAAGAACATTCTTGTTCATTTCCTTTCTTCCCACCCTTCACACACAAAGAGGGCGATTGTGAGAAACATGTTTCGAACGGCCACCTCTGTGTGCACTACCAGGGAAGTAAAGGAAGAATCGC